CATCCATGTCGAGTAGGTAAGGACAAACTTCCCAATGGCTGTGGGTCGGCCTCCAAGGAGCCCCTTATTATTTTTGCCTCCTGGTATTCACACTCCTGTGTAGTCGTCTCCCAAATTACACCAGAGTTGGTCTGTGTGACCAACAGAAAATAGCAGAAATGATGGTATGTCACTTCCACAATTAAGTTATAAGGCTTTGTAGCTTCCATTTGAATTTTTACACTTTAATTGGATTTTTTTTTAAAAAGTAAACTGCATTGTGATTTTTTTTTCTTCTTTCATTCTGTTACCTTATTATTTGACTACTCTGAGCAAATAAATTCTGAGAAGCTAGTCAGAAAGCCTAATGTTCTGCCATCCTTCTCAGTCTTATTCATTCAGCCATTTGGAAGGCTCCAGCCTAAAATTCCATCAAATGGACGATAACTGATATGTTGAAATCAATATAATGAAAGAGAAAAACCAGCTCCTACATTGTACATGCATTTTTATGTTTGTCAGGAAGCATTTAACAAGAGGCTTCCTGTGTGCTGTTTTGGATCTGCCAGGAACCCTCTGGCCCTTATTAATTCCTGAATATTCAGGAATTAAGAGGAGAGGCATGCCTTTCCCGGGGCTGAGGAATCCAGGCATTTCTCAATACGGTGATAAGTACCCTCTTCCTTTTTATGAGCCATACGGTGAAAGGTGATTGTTTGCAACTCTCTCTTTGATAGGGATCATATTATGTTTTGGAGCTCTGGAATTTTAATCTTTATCTTTGCTGAGAATAACTACAGTATATATGCCCACACCATGCTGATTAAAACACCTTTGCTCCATCAGAGTTTTGGTCCCCGTGTCGTGTCTTTCTTTCTTTCTTCTCTCTCTATTTCTGGCTAATTCCTTGGAGCGCGGAGGCCCGCTGAGCTCACTTTCTTGCCCAGGCTTCTAAGACCCTCTAGAGAAGGCACACTGTGCCTTCACTCACTCGAGAGGGCACCTGGTGCCTACGTGCAGCAGCTCGAGCCCTAAGAACAGGACTGTATTGGCTTTCCGCATAAACCAGGGGGTATCAGGCTCTTTCTCTCTCTTACTCTCTGGACCACCAGGTTCCGGTCCATTAAAGGACCAGCATACGTTGATAAGATCATTGAGTTGCTTGTAAAGCCCAAGACTAGCACACTGATTATAGCAGGTGGAGACATTGTACTTTTAATGTTGTACTTTCTACAAGAAAGAAATCTATGAAAGAGTTGGGTAATTTTGGAGGCACATTCACTACTTAACTGGTAAGAAAACATCCCCTGCCTCTCTTCTGTCCCACCCAAGTTCATTTTCACAATGATCTTATCACGTGGAAGCTAAACAAACATTTATTCAGAATACTGCTCGTTAGCAGTATTCTTGTTAGTGACCATCATAACTCACATTTAAGATATTTAGCTCTTCAGTGTGAGCTCCTGGTAAAGGCCTAAGAAACGTGTGGTCTACACGGTTTCAAATAGCCATATGAAAAAAATTTTTTAAAAAAGGACAGATATCTATCTACATGCTTGGTATCATGTGAATTCAGCCAAAGCCAAGGAATTTCTGAAAGCCCTTATTTGCTTTGAATGATTTGCTCACCTTCAAGTATATGATCCAGTAAGAATCAATAAAGTGTGAATAATGGGTATGTGCTAAGTTGCCCCAATTGTGTCTGACTCTTTGCGACCCAATGGACTGTAGCCCATCAGGTTCTTCTATCCATGAGCTTTTCTTCAGGCAAGAATACTGGAGTGGGTTGCCATTCCCTCCTCCAGAAGATCTTCCTGACCCAGGGATTGAACCCACATCTCTTATGTCTCCTTTGGCATAAGAGACAGGTGGGTTCTTTACTACTAGTGCCACCTGGGAAGCCCAGTGAGTAATGGGTAGCCATCCTTTCTATCGGATGCCAGTGATGCAGACGTTAGGGGCATATTCATTCTTCAGTTTATCTAATAGATATTTATGAGCACTTGTTATCTTGAATATGTCTCAAATACTGGTCCCTCTAACATTTATTTCCAATTTTCAAGGCATTATAGGATATACTTTCAGGATCTTTCACTTGAAGAGTTTATTTTCATGAGTGTTATTAATTTATTGTTTTCCAGTCATTCAGTTGTGTCTGACTCTTTGCGACCCCATGGACTGCAGCATGTCAGGTTTCCCTCTCCTTCACTATCTCCCAAAGTTTGCTCAAACTCACGTCTGTTGAGTTGATGATGCCATCCAACTATCTCATCCTTCATCACCCTCTTCTCTTCCTGTCCTCAATATTTCCCAGTATCAGGGTCTTTTCCAATGAGTCAATTCTTCTCATAGGATGGCCAAAGTTTTGGAGTTTCAGCTTCAACATCAGTCCTTCCAATGAATATTCAGGGTTGGTTTCCTTTAGGATTGACTGATGTTATTAACAATTGGGGTCTTTTTACATATGTAAGTCTGAATGGATTTTTTTTCCAAAAGGGTAAGTGATTAGTTCACATTTTGTAGTCATATCACTCTGTTAATATCAGTTCAAGTCTTCTGTTCTCCAACATAAATGAAAGAAAATAAAAGATTGTCATTGTGAATTCCCTGGGCGTCCAGTGGTTAGGACTCTGCAGTTATACTTCAGAGGACTCAGGTTCAATCCCTGGTTGGGGAACTAAGATCTTGCAAGCCACATGGCACAAGTGAAAATATTTTACAGGCTGTCATTGAAGACAGTCTCTCTTTTGTACAAATTGTTATGTTACTTCCAAATTTAGAAGAGAAATATACACATTTATATGTTAGAAATTTATTTCTTATGAGTAGGCTTATTTTTTAAGGATAATTCTGTACATTGTATGTTGTCCTGTACTTTTCTGTCAAGTGCTAACCAGTTTATAACTACATACTTATCTTCATGGTCAATGATTTCATGATGGTCTCCCCAATTAGACGTGAGCTCCACAAAGATAAGGATGATTACTCATAAGATACCACTGTAGCCTTTATGCTTACACATTTTCCTCATACATAATTGGTGTCCCAAAAATTTTGGTTGAATGAGTAGATGAATGAAAGATGCTAGCAACAAATATTATGGAAGAACATCAGTAATTTAGAAGGACTTGTCATAATCTGGAATCAAGCCTATAGAAAAATTTTTAAATGGTGGAGAAAAATATGAATCACTTGAGGGAGCCATTCTAAGCGTCTCTCTAGCCAGGATGTGCCCTGCTCTTGATTCTTGAACCCGAGTGAGTTTATATGTGAAAATGATCTTGTTCTGGCCCTGAGGCAGCATGAGGCAGGCTGCAAAGTCCATGCTATGACAGTGAGTCAACCCTGTGTATACTACAGACTCACTGATTACGTGGCAGCCTGTCGGGCTTATCACAGACAGAACAGGAGCACAGTGAGCTCTGGCTAATTCTGCGTGGCTGTCTTCTGTTCATAGCACCACGTCACTCTTTCATAGCAACTCAACTGCTAATTGAGGCCAGTGACCCCTACTCCAAGTCCGAGAGTGCAGGAATGATGAAATTCCCATTGTAGAGAGAAGACTGGCGGTCAAGTGGGTCATCAGCCACAGCCACAGAAGCTGAGGGACAAAAGAGAAGAGAGGAAGGAAGGAAAGAGGGAAGGAGGAAAGAAAGAGGGAGGAAGGGAAAAGGAAGTCTCAGATATGAGAAATGACAAGGACTCAAGTAAAATTTATCTGTCATTGAAGACAGTCTCTCTTTTGTACAAATTGTTATGTTACTTCCAAATTTAGAAGAGAAATATACACATTTATATGTTAGAAATTTATTTCTTATGAGTAGGCTTATTTTTTAAGGATAATTCTGTACATTGTATGTTGTCCTGTACTTTTCTGTCAAGTGCTAACCAGTTTATAACTACATACTTATCTGCATGGTCAATGATTTCATGATGGTCTCCCCAATTAGACGTGAGCTCCACAAAGATAAGGATGATTACTCATAAGATACCACTGTAGCCTTTATGCTTACACATTTTCCTCATACATAATTGGTGTCCCAAAAATTTTGGTTGAATGAGTAGATGAATGAAAGATGCTAGCAACAAATATTATGGAAGAACATCAGTAATTTAGAAGGACTTGTCATAATCTGGAATCAAGCCTATAGAAAAATTTTTAAATGGTGGAGAAAAATATGAATCACTTGAGGGAGCCATTCTAAGCGTCTCTCTAGCCAGGATGTGCCCTGCTCTTGATTCTTGAACCCGAGTGAGTTTATATGTGAAAATGATCTTGTTCTGGCCCTGAGGCAGCATGAGGCAGGCTGCAAAGTCCATGCTATGACAGTGAGTCAACCCTGTGTATACTACAGACTCACTGATTACGTGGCAGCCTGTCGGGCTTATCACAGACAGAACAGGAGCACAGTGAGCTCTGGCTAATTCTGCGTGGCTGTCTTCTGTTCATAGCACCACGTCACTCTTTCATAGCAACTCAACTGCTAATTGAGGCCAGTGACCCCTACTCCAAGTCCGAGAGTGCAGGAATGATGAAATTCCCATTGTAGAGAGAAGACTGGCGGTCAAGTGGGTCATCAGCCACAGCCACAGAAGCTGAGGGACAAAAGAGAAGAGAGGAAGGAAGGAAAGAGGGAAGGAGGAAAGAAAGAGGGAGGAAGGGAAAAGGAAGTCTCAGATATGAGAAATGACAAGGACTCAAGTAAAATTTATGAGTCACCTTCCAACGATATTAAATATCCATAGTGTCATCCTTAAGCCTACGGTCTACAAAGTGTGAAATTTGGGTACTTAATGAGCAATTTCCAATTCTGTATTTTGTTGCTGTTGTTGGGATTTTAAAACCCACTGGAATAAGAAGAACTTCAGGGCAGAGTAATTTATAGAAATATGTGTAAATTTATGTTTCTGTTCACTCCATGCTAGATACCACTCGAGGTCCTTCCATAAGGTTCTCTTTACACATTTTGAATTACAATCTAAGATATGAGCAAAAAAAGGAAAAACAAATAGCAGCCTACCCGCAGCGTGTCCCATTTGTCATATTCTGGTTGAGGGAGTCATTGGTCCACACTATGGTGTTATTCACACATGCTCTTCCAGGGATACTGAGTTCTTGTAATTCCATGTCATACTCAATAAAAACATCTGTCATTGTGCCAAAAATGAGTAGCACGCCTGGATAGGCTACTCCATGGAGAAGTGCACATAAACTTCCCACAGACATCAGGCAAATGTCAGTCTTTGAAGAAAACCGAAACTTGAAAAACAAAGGATTCAGAGATCATCTATGGGTGAAAAGCAGGAGAGGTAGGAGGACTATTTAATTTTAGTTACTAGATTCTGATAAATAGTAGTCAACACCAAGTCTTAAGGGAATCATTTTAATTGAAATGGAGAGTTCTCACTAACACTGAAATCAATTATTTAAGTCATTAAACTCCTACATTGTTAACTTATGTTCTTTCTTTCCTAGCCCCTTAATTCATTCTCTTTACCTCAAGAGCCGACTTTATTTCTTAGCTTTTCATCCCCAACTTAAGGGGGAAACAATCACTGACCCTGATGCTATTGCCATGTAGATTCTCCTTATGGCTTATTCAGCAATAGTAGAAATTGGCTCCCAGAAATGATATTGATAATGAAGAGCATCTGCTTATGCCCAGAAATGTCTCACTTTTTGCAAATTTGAAGAAAATACCTACACTATGGAACTTCTAAAGGCATCATAAGAATAAATACGCATAACATGATTACTGTGACAATTTTCCTTACTAAAATGATCATTAGGGACTTAGAGATTATCTTCTAGAACACTTTTCTGATCTACAAGATAGAATTTGTATGTTTAATCAGCAGTAGATTTCTAATTACTAATCCACATGTTGTCACATAGGCAAAGTTTAGTACTGAAAAAGTGATCACTATAGTTAATCACCTGCCAATATGACTAAAAAATTAACATTTTCCCCACGATCTGAACAACTCACAGTTGCAAAACCTATGCCATTAATCAGCATAGTTTTATTACCAGTCGAAAGAAGCCAACTTGACTGCTACCACCTTTCTTCTCATCTTGTAACCTGAGGAGAGAAACATGGGGATTTACAGACCATCCTTTCTAAAACAATGAGAAATTCTCCCTAAATTGTGATTTCATGAGTCATTCTTTAGTAAGAATGAAAGCTCCCACTGGCTGCAAAATTCTACTTCACTCTACCTGAGCTGCCTGGCCTTTCTGCTGACTTTCATCTGCACCAAATCTGTTCCCACCTCTGGGTGTTTGCACTTGCTATTCCCTCTCACCAAAGTGTTCTTTCTTCAGATAACAGAGTGGAGAACTCCCTCACCTCCTTCATACCTTCTCTCAAAAGTTGCCTTTTCAATGGGCCATCCATGGTCAAAATCTTTAAAATTTCAACTCTCCCCCCACATCATTTCAAATCTCCATTTCCATGTTTACTGTTTTTTCTTAGAAAGGGGATGATAAATGATCATTATCTACCATGCTATGTATTTTATTTATCTATGGTGTTTACTATGTCTCCCTCACTAAAGGAGAGAATTCTTAAAGGCATGTTAAGTTCCTCAAGACAGAGATTTTAACCTATTTTTTTTCTTTTCTATATCCTCAGAAAACTCCTCTGCGACCATGAAATCTTACATGTCCAACTTTTCCTCTGCTTGTTTAAGTCAGAAATTCTGTGGGGTTCTTGGACATATAGGGGATATTTGAACCTAATCCAGAAGGAATATTCCCAAAGATTTTTGAAATCAAATTATAGTAATGTTTTAAAGAGAAAAAGAATGGATTATATATACCATTTTGTAGGCAGTGCAATGTATATGAAAATATTGTTTCTGCTTTGTGCCTTTTATGTGAATATTAGGGGAATTCTTTGGAAAATGTGTTGCATTGTTGAAGCAGTGACTTACTTTGCTTTTTTATCATTGTTATCTGTCAGGATAAAAACAATACATAAAGCAGTTAATAATAATGACAAAATGAAACATAATCATTAACAATTTTTCTCTGGAAAAACATTTCTATGATTATTTTATTCATGGAACAATACAAAATAACCATTTGCTTTTTCACCTTTCTCTCTCTCCATCCACATTATAGAAGAAAACACTCTTTCACACATAGGACTGCTGCCTTGACTAGATTTTCTCCAGAAAATGAGATCTTTTTATCTTCTGAATGCTAACTAAAGACCAAAATTTGTAAATTAGTTACAGAAAAATATGATTTTTTTGAACTACCAAATAAAATGAATACTTATTTATTGTTTGGTTTTTTAGAAACATCAGAATTTATCTACTTAAAATACAGACCATAAATCAACCAGACAATAAGATGTCATTAACACCCCTGTGCCTTAGAAGCCATGGAATTGAGCCACATTTTACTTTCCCCAGCACAGGTCAGAGCAGATGGAAGGGAAGAGGTGAAAGTGGGGGTTCAGGGTCACGGGTATAGGGAAGCCATAGCGAAAGGAACCCAGGATTTTAATGTCAATCTTCATCATGGGACAGCACATCCTGGTTCCCCTGGCATTTTTATTTCATTTCATTCAGAGTAAAGAGGCATTATAGTGTAGATAAAGGTTAACCTCTCATATTTGGGAATCAGAACTGGGTTAGGATTACAGCTCCTTTAATCTTTAATCATGCAATCTTTGTCAAGCCTAAGACAATGTATCTAAGTCTCAGTTTCCTTTTCTATAAAATGTAAAATCATAGGACTTTTGAAGATAATAATAGCATAGAATCATCTGCCCTTAGCACACTCTAGGTACTTGTGCTATGGATCCCCATCCACTTTACCTCACACTGGCCAGCAGTGTCTTTGTACCATTCCTCTCAGAGAGCAATGCTCACTAAATGCATATTACTATAATCAGTTATAACAATATATGAATAAAGGTAATAATAATGAAAGTATTGAAAGTGTTAGTCACTCAGCCATGTCTGACTTTTTGCAACCCCATGGACTGTAGCCCACCAGACTCCTCTGTCCATGGAATTCTCCAGGCAAGAATACTGGATTGGGTAGCAATCCCCTTCTCCAGGGGATCTTCTTGACCCAGGAATCAAACCCAGATTTTCTGCATTGCAGGCAGATTCTTTACCATCTGAGCCAGCGCTAAAACAACCCAAGTCTATCCAGGGAAAAAATATTTATAGTGAGATGCTTTCACTCTCCCAGGATTTATGCATTCTTACCTAGCACTCTCAGCAGTTATATTACATGGATTCTCGAGAGAAATACCCAGGTTATGCAAGAAGAATATGAGGTAATTGTTCTACTTATTGTTGCTGAATTTTCTGTGCTCCTTGAAAATCTTCACTAGTTTTTTCCACTTTTGCTTTCACCTTATTTTGTATAAGAAACAGTAAGATAAAAAGACCACTTACATGAGCTATCTGACTCAAAACCATGGTTGTCCTCTCCAAATTTCTTCACGCTGCGAAGAATCACCGAGTCAGACATAACAATTGCAGTTCACAGCAAAAAAAAAAAAAAAAACCCTAGAAAATAAAAGAGAAGAGTGATTGCAGAAGAAGACAAGATGGCGAAGGGGTAGCCAGATGTGCAGTACATCTCTCCGTGGATACATCAGGAATACACCTTCAGATGCAGAAGGTCTCGCAGAACACCATCTAAGAGCAGACAGGAGTCCCTGACCACTGGAAAGGTATATATAGATCCAAAACTCAGCAGGACAAAGGAAGGAAGGGGAAAAGAAGAGAATGAGCAGGACTGGACCTGCACCTGGGGTTAGGGGAACTGAAGCAGGGGTCAGATCCCCAAACGGAGGCAATTGTTTGAGACACAGGGGAAGTATTTGAGGCTGTTGGATAGTGAAGCAGCTGATCTGTGACTGTCTGAGTGGAGTGAGAACCAGACAATCCTTGCTGCAGCCCCATGTACCCTGGTCAGGGGCCCGAGTCTCCTGAAACACGCAGTGGCTGGGAGCTGGAGCATAGGGACGGGAGAGCAATCCCAGGGTGAGGGTTGCTGTTGACTGTTGGGAGACAGCCCAACAGGGCGTGACGGAGGAGGTCGTGGTGGAGAATGCCTTTGGAGCAGTGCTGGGTAGCCACTGAAGCCAAGCGATCCTGCTGAGTCATGTGCAGGGGGCGGAGCCGTCACTGTGGCTTCTCTCCCTCACACACTAGTGCTGGCAGCTGACCGAGAGAGAAAGACTCCAGAGAGGGTCACCCTTTGAGTGTCTGAGGCACAGAGCAACAGAGAAGGACCCCAGCCAGTGGAGACCTTGGAGTGCCTGCTGCGCCAAACAGCAGAGAAGAACCAGCCAGAGAGGCCTTTTAGTGCCAGCTGCCAGAGGCTAGAAGAAGACTGTAATAGTGCCCTAGCTCCTGCGCCTGAGGCCACCAGCATCTCTGCACACTTGGCACCACCAAGGTCCCTGTGACCCAAGCAACTGTGCCACCTCCACACCCGGCCCTCACTAAGGCAGACCTAAGTCTGCCAGGGCTGCCTCAGGAGCAAACTCCTGTGGATGACCCACATGCAGAGGTGGGGATAAAACCACAATTGAACTCCAAGGGTAGTGTGGCTGAGGAAGCGGATCAAAAAGCTTTCCACCAGCTGTACAAGGTGCAGATTAAAACCACATGATCAATTAGGAAGACTGTGTCTATGGAATATACAAAAGGACAATGAGAGCTATCACACACACACAAAAACACACTAGCTCTGGTAGCTATGGATATTGCAGGCAAGAATAGGGCCAGATTAGTCTGAGCTGTTCCCACAGCAGGTCCAGACATCAGCCCAGTATTGGAGGGCATCCTAGAGAGGCAGAGGTGGATTGTGACTCACAGTGAAGGAAAGGACACCGGCAGCTGAAATCCAAGAAAAGCATTTATTATTATTCATGTATTTTAATTTGTTCTGTAGTTGATCCTAGTTTTTTTTATCTTCGTTGTTTTTCTTTGTTGCTATGGTTGTTTATTTTATTATTGCTATTAACTCTAAGTTTTTGAGAACATTTTTTAACTCACACTTTTGATTTCATTTATATACTTCTACCTCTTCATTGGTTTTTTGTGATTCTGTGGGGCTTTTTTCTTTTTTAAATTTTGTTTGTTTGTTTGTTTTTCTTACTGTTCTTTTCCTGCTATAGTTATTCTTTAATATATATAAATCTTTTATTTCTTTTCTATTTTTTCCTTTTCTTCCTTTTCTTTCTTTATTTCACCATGTTTGTTAGTCTGTTTTGTTTTCTTTGCTTATTCTCCAGTTGACACACTGCTTTTGTCTTCTTTACCAATTTGTGTTTTAGTTAGTTTTGTTTTTAATCGGTTGGTATCAGTTTTGGTTTCCTTTGCTTGCCAAGTCACTCTTGTACTTTCTTGTCTTTGGACTATTTTGGGTTTTGTGTGTGTGTGTATGTGTGTTCCTTTGTTTTTGTTATTATTTGCTTGATTTTGTATTTACCTTTTGTCTGGGGCTCCTCTTTTGTTTCTTATTTTGTTTTGCTATTTTTGTGTTTTTGTTTTAATCCCCTTTAATGCCATAACAAATGGCTTGTGGAACGTCAGTTCCCCAGGCAAAGATTGGGCCTGAGCCCTTGGAGTGGAAGCTCTGAATCCAGGGCAGTGGACTTCCAGAGACCTACTAACACCAGGGAGTATTGATTATTGAGAACTCCCATGAAGACCTCCACCTGATTCTAAGACCTGGAATCACCCAACTGACAGCAGCACCCAGTGCAAGATGCCTCAGCCAGCCAACAAGTAAGACAGAATACAGACCCAACCACTAGTGGAGAGGCTTGCCACAGACACCCCAAAACCTACCACCGCACACAATCCTGTCCATCAAACTCACCTCCTCCTACCAGAATGCAGACACAAGTCCTTCCCGACACAAAGCCTACACAACCACTGGACCAACCTCACCCACTGAGGGCAGTAACCAGAAGGAAGAAGGTATATGACCCTAAAGCCTGGGGAAAGAAGACTTCAGACAAAGTAAGTTAGAAAAAAATGAAAATACAGAGAAATATTACATAAATGAAGGAACAAGGTAAAAATTCACAATACCAAATAAATGAAGAGGAAATATGCAAACTACATGAAAAAGAATTCAAGGTAATGATAGTAAAGATGATCCAAAACCTCAAAAACAGAATGGAGAAAATGCAAGGGTCAATTAACACATTTAACAAAGATCTAGAAGAAATTAAGAATAAACAGAGACAAACAATACAATTACTGAAATTAAAAATACTCTAGAAGAAATCAGTAGCAGAATAACTGAGGCAGAAAAACAGATAAATGAGCTGGAAGATAGAATAGTGGAAATAACTGAAGAACAGAATAACAGGAGAATGAGAAGAATTAAGGATAGTCTCAGAGACCTCTGGGACAATATTAAANTTTCTTCTCAAGTGCACATGGAATATTCTCAAGGACAGACCACATCTTGGGTCATAAATCAAGCCTCAGTAAATTTAAGAAAATTGAAATTGTATCAAGCATCTTTTATGACCACAATGCTATGAAACTAGATATCAGTTACAAGGAAAAAAACTGTAAAAAAGCATAAATCCTTGGAGATTACACAATACATTTCTAAATAATGAACAGGTTACTGAAGAAATTAAAAGGGAAATAAAAAAATTCTTAGAAATGAATGTAATGAAAGCATGATGACTCAAAACCTATGGGATGCAGCAAAAGCTGTTCTAAGAGAGAAGCTTATAGCAATACAATCCTACCTTAAGAAACAAGAAAAACATCAAATAGACAACCTAATTTTACACCTAAAACAACTTGGAAAGAACAAAACCCCTCAAGGTTAATAGAAGGAAATAAATCATAAAGATCAGAGTAGAAATAAATGAAAAAGAAAGAAAGGAAACAATAGTAAAGACTAATAAAACTGAAAGTTGGTTCTTTGAGAAGATAAACAAAATTGACAAACTATTAGCCAGACTCAACAAGGAAAAAGGGGAGAAGAATCAAATCAACAAAATTAGAGATGAAAAAGGAGAAGTTATGTAGACAATGCAGACATACAAAGGATCATAAGAGACTATTATGAGCAACTTTATATGCCAATACAATGGACAATCTGGAAGAAATGGACAGATTCTTTTTTTTTTTGGTTGTGTTTATTTTACTGTTTAAACTAGAATGGACACTCTGCTAATGCATTTCAAACACCTTGAACAGTTTCTGTGCAAGGTAGGCTTCTAAAAAATATTTGTGGATTTAGTGAATTAATAAAATTAGTTATCTTGGTTACAGGTCATCTTCTTTCTTGTGTGGGTTCTTTGAAATATTTGCCATGTATCCCTTTATCACTTAATTCTTATTCCCCAGGGTGCCCTCAGAAGCCTTCAGTTGAAACTTCAGGCATGATGGTTGTGGACACAAGAAAGTCTGCTGGTCAGCTGTTCCAAGCCCCATGGGGTCAGCAGGGCCCTATGATGGTGACAGTGAAGCTGGAGGAAGACCACCCCAGGATTCTTAGAAAAGTTCAACCTTCCAAAACTGAGCCAGGAAGAAATAGAAACTATGAATAAGCCAACTATAAACACTGAAATCAAAACTGATTAAACAAAAATCTCTCAAAAAACAAAAGTACATGGCCAATTGACTCCACAGGTGAATTCTATTAGACGTTTAGAGACAAGCTAATGCCTATCCTTCTCAAACTCTTCCAAAAAATTGCAGAGGAAAGAACACTTTCAAACTCATTCTACAAGGCCACTATCACCCTGATACCAAAACCAGATAAAGACATCACACAAAAAATAAAATTATATGCCAATATCACTGATGAACATAGATGCAAAAATCCTCAAAAAAATCCTAGCAAACAGAATTCAACAGCATATTAAAAAGGTCATACACCATTAACAAGTTGGGTTTATTCCAGGGATACAAGACTTCTTCAATATACACAAATCAATCATTGTGATACACTGTATTAACAAACTGAAAGATAAAAATTATATGATAATCATGATAATCTCAATAGATGAATAAAAAGCTTTTGAATAAATTCAGCACCCATTTATGATAAAAACTCAACCAAAAATGGGCATAGAAAAAACCTACCTCAGCATAACAAAGGCCATATATGATAAACCCAGTGCAAACATTATTCTCAATGGTGAAAAACTGAAAGCATTTCCTCTAAGATCAGGCGTAAGACAAGGGTGCTCTCTCTCACCACTATTATTCAACACAGTTTTCAAAGACCTAGCCATGGCAATCAGAGAAAGATTATAAAGAAATAAAAGAAATCCAGATTGGAAAAGAAGAAGTAAAACTTTCACTGTTTGCAGAAGACATGATACTATACATACAAACCCTAAAAATACTATCAGAAAATTACTAGAGCTAATTAGTCAATTTTTAAAGTTGCAGGATACAAAATCAATATACAGAAATCACTTGCATTCCTATACACTAACAATGAAAAATCAGGAAGAGAAATTAAGAAATCAATCTCATTTACCCTTGCAAAAAAAAAAATAAATAA